TTATGTTCAATCTCCTTGTTCAGTCTGTTTACTATTATGCGTTCAATAGCTTTTGCTGCTGTATTTAGAAGACAGATTGGTCGAAATGCCGTAGGACCTGTCTTATTTCCGGGTTTTGGAATCAGGACTAAGTTTGCTTCCTTCCATATATCCGGGAATTTTCCTCTCCGCAGTATGTCATTCGCCAATTTTTGTAATATCCTTGGCCACCTTTTGATCAACATCTTGACTACTTCCGGTGGGACTCCGTCGGACTCTGGTGCTTTCCCTGCTGCTATTTTGTTTCCTGCTTCTGTTATTTCTTCCAGAGTTACTTCGGATACGTCTCTTTCATTTATCTCAATCGTTGCTTCATCCCTCCTTTGTTGCATAGGGAATAAGTTTCTTACCGCTTTCTTCACTATGTCTGGGGGGATTTGTGGTGATCTTTTTTTTATTTTACCCATTACTATTTGATACGGGAGTCCGAAAACATCTCGGTCGACTGCTTCTATGAGTTTTTTCCAGTATTTTTCCTTATTATGTCGTATACTTTGTCTTAGTTTGTTTCGAGCTTTCTGGTGTCCCCGTAGTTGTTGTGTTGCTCTTTGTTCCGTTTCCGGTTAAAAATTGTTCGTGCGTTTTTGCTAGCTTTTTGTTCTTGTGTATGTGCGCCTTTTCCTTACGCATATTTTCCTGAGATCTGCAATTTCCTTGTTCGACCAGTGTTTTGGGCGGTGGTGATGTCGATCTGTGGGCTGTTGCAGGTCAGCTTTTGTACATGCATCAATCACAAGCTGGCTGAGTTGTTGCGCTTCTATCTGTATCCCTCCAGTTCCGGTTTCGCTTACCATGATTTGCTCGCACTTTCTGTCTAGTTCTCTACGCAGTATTGGGAGGTCTAATTTCCTTGCTTGCCATCTTCTCGTCTTTCTCTGTGTTCCTTCCGGTGGTCTTGTGTGCTCGACTTGGAAGAATATGTAGTGGTGGTCACTACCACTTTCTTCTTCGTCCAAGACTTTCCACACTGTTGTGAAGGCTGCTGCCTCGTTGTTTACTAATGTGATGCCTATGTGTGATGGGTAACCACTGTGTTCACAAGTAGGAGCCTCTCCATCATTAAGCACCGCCAGTCCCTCTGTTGCCATCCACTCTAGGGTCGTTATTCCTCTTCGGTCGTTACTTCTGCTGCCCCATATTACATTTTTTGAGTTAAAATCTCCTGTGACAATAATCTTTTTCCTATTGTCATGTCGTTTTACACTTCATCCTAGTTCTTCAAGGAATTTTTTGAATTCTTCTATTGGGCATATATATATATATATGCCCAATAGATCGATAGAAACCGTTTCCTGCTCCTTTTCTTCGTATTACCACGTTCCTCATGCCGCTCCAGTATATAGCAGTATCCTTTTTATCGTCCGTCACTACAATTTTTTTAGCACTGGCTATTCTTTTGTAGCTCGGTTCTGATAATAGACAAAGGTGTATGCCGTATTTCTGGGTTGTGATTTCCAGTAAGTCATGGGCGGCAGACTCTATTTTGCTAATTCTTCTATTCCACTCTCTGCTGTTTGCTTTGGTATTTTTAGTTCTTCAGTGGGCCGTTTAGCAGTCTTTTTTGCTGTTGGTGTTATAAAATTTTCCTCGTCTGTCGTTGGTCTTTTTGTCCTCTTTTGCCTCTTCTTTGTCTCTTCTTTTCTTTCTTTCGCTATATTTTCATTGTTCTCTCTTGTCTTTATCTCTTCTTCTCCTGCGGAGAAAGGGGGACAGGGTTTTGTTGCTATCTTAATGTCGTGCTTTCGTTTGACCTGGTTCACTAGAGTTCGATATCTAGGGCATCGTATTGATGCAGCCCTGTGGCCCTCCATATCGCATTCGTAGCAAAAGGGAATCACCCTTTCGCAATTATTTGCCGTATGTCCGGTGATCCCACAATGGTAGCATCTTTTTCCTTCCACTTTGGATTTTTCAGTGCATTCGTGGGCTCTGTGTCCTATTTTCCAGCATCTGAAACAATTCGGTAACCTGATCCATTCCCTTATCTTGCATCTGTAGGGCCCCATTTGTATCACTCTTCTTTCTTTTATATTCTTTACCAGAGCTGTTGGTATTTGTATCAATGAATACCAACTGCTTTTAGACTGACGAGGATTTCCGGCTGTTATTTCCGTGCTTGCTGGTAATCCCAGCGCTATTTTGATGTCGGTCGCTATCTTTCTGCCCGTAGCCAAAGGATCTACATCCCATATGGCCAACGTGTGTTCATTTATCTTCATGCTTACATCTAGTTTCATGCCCTCTTCATTTTTAATAATGCTGGCGATTTTTGTGGCTTCGTCTTTTATATTTCCCTGTACCCTGAGCAGAACGTCTCCTCCTGCTCCTTGGGAGACTCCTATTTTACCATCCATTTTTGTGGGTTCTAATTTCGTGCGAACTCCCGTCAGCACCTCACTGTAGGATCTGTTTTCTCCTGCCTTTATCCTTATTGTTGTGGTCTCTTCGTAGCGTCTTCCTCTTGTTATCGATTTTTCGATTTCCTTCTTTTGCGTATTTTGTCTTTGTGTATTCTCCTTTTGTTCTCTACATATATTAATATCTGCCATACACTTCCAGTAGTTTTCTGGTGTTCTCGGTATCGGCTTGGTCAGTTATCTTGATTATTGGTGTTGTTTGTCCTTTTTCTTCCTTAAGGGTTTTGACTACTTTCTTGATCATTTTTGTTAGGTCCTCTTCTGTCTCCTCTTTCTTTATTACTCCTATTATTATATTTGTTTTTGCGTTTTCTGGTATTCTCTCCCCTTCCGCGTGCCCTGTCATGAGGTTGAAAGAGTTTCTACTCGTGATTAATGCGACACTACCCGCTGTCAGTTTTCCTACTTCCTTAGCTCCATTAATTTGGGCATCAAGTTGTTTAAGTAGCTTTTGATCCTTCTCGAGGTCCTTCTCGATTATCATCGCCCTTGTATCTTTAATGGCCGGTATGTTTTCCTTTATTATTGTAACCCGCTTAAACACTTTCTGGGGCCATTTCTTCCTAGCTACACGATTAAAGTCTTCTTCTGGTCTGGCTGCGGTTAGTTCCGCTTCTATCTCTTCCTCTATCCTTGTATCTTCTATTTCTTGTAGGCGTTCCATTTCAATCTTCTCTTTGCATCTATTACACAAGATGTCTTCTTTATTTTCCTTTTGTGTTTCCTTTTCCTCGTTCTCTTTTTTCCATTTTGAATTTTCTGTTGTTCTAGTTCCAGTATCTTGTCTTTTTGCTCCTCGAGGCTATTTCTTCGTTCAAGTTCAACCTTTTTTCTTAGTCCCTCGGTTCTTATCAAGGTTCTGATCTGGCTAATTGTCTTGCATTTTCCTTGATGTCACTTGGTGTACCTTTATGTTTTTTGCATAGCATTTCCAAAATTCCTGAGAGATTTTTGACTGTGTCTATGGCTTTTGGATTCTGTTCGTACTTCTTCTTTATTTTCTTTTCGTCTCTTATCTGATGGGCTCATATCCTCCGTATTATTTACCGAAACTATTTCTTCCATAGTTCTTTTCCTTGTCCCCACCTGTTCCTGTGTTTTACTTGGGGTTAATTCTACGTAGCTTATATGCATCTCTTTCTCATGTCCAGTCCTACATGTCTGTTTTTGGGTCTCCCTTAGGTGGCCTTTTAGTAATTGTCCTTCTTGTTTTCTTATGACATCTTTGTCATCTATTTGTCTTGACCCTGTAGGCATTTCTTCGTGCAGGGAAGGTTCTTCCTTTGGGTCTCTCCCTTCCTCTTCTATTCTTCCTTGTTTTCTTTCCCTGTGTGTCTCTTCTTTTCTTCCAGGGTTGGGGCCACTCTTGCCAGTGGCACTGTGATACCGGCATTTAATCTTATCTTCCATTTTGATATCTGTTTATATTGTTCTTTAGTGGGTTGCAAGACGGTGTCGGTCGTTCGAACCGTTAGCTTTTGACATTTATCGAAGGACAGGTTTACATACATGTGGCCTCAGCAATGCCCCCCGAGTATTGCTGCAGGGCCCCTTCCGGTCGTCATCCGGCACTACAACAATAGCGGGATTTTCGGTCAGTTGATGGGGCAGCCAGGTGGTGTTGACAAGACGCCCGGGCCCGTGTACTACCTGCCAGCCCGTCAATACCCCACGGTTTTAGAGCGGTACCCTCACGCTTGTCCCTGCCCAGCGACTTGTCTTATTTCCTCCAGCTCTCCCGAATCCGGCGCTTTCTGTCGTTGCTCTCCTGCTCTTCGCGTCGTTGAAGCCCTCTGAGTTAGCTTTCCTCCACCGCTAGAGTCCTCAGGGTCCATCGTTTCTGTTTCACCATAAGTGTGTGAGAGAACGATGGGTCTTTCCCTGGGGGCTGGTTTTGGTCCGCGCCGGGTATAATTTCCCGGTACCTATCATATCTGAAAGGCCTTTGCCTATCCGCCACCTGGGGACGCGCCCGGTAGGGGTCCAGCAACCCCTTCCGATCGTTGACTTTTCCTACTTCTTTCAACCACCGGAACGCCGGGAACCTAACCTAACCTAAAAAAAAAAAAAGAAAAAAGCCACATTCTTTTTTCCTTTTTTTTTCTTTTTTTTAAGGAGACCGAGAGCAAATGCATTATGCAGACCATACTTCACACGGGCACTGGTAATAAAAGCCACATTATCTGCGAATGCAATAGTTCCCACCCCTTACGGTAAATCCGCAGTCTGTAACACGCCATCTTAAGCTAGGTTCCATAGTGTTGGTTCAAGAATCGATTCCCGCTGAACCCCAGCTGTGACCCTGTATTTCACCCCATACGTCTCCAGTCTCCTGTTTTCTAAATACGAGCTGATGCCCCTGCACAGATACGTGCAGATCCCCTTCTCCTCCGGTACAGCCATCAGTTTCCCCCAATTCATGCTACTAAAAAAATTTCTAACATCCAGCAGAATGTTTCTAGTCTTCAGCTTCCTCTTCATCTCCTCTCTCGCTATCTTGAGGACTCTATCTACAGCTACGAGTGTTGGGCGCTGTTTCCTGAAGCCATATTGTGCTTCTAACAGTGCTTCTTTTACTTCATGCTCTTTGGTCAGTCGCGCGACTATGATACTTTCTATGGGCTCTGCAGCCGTGATCACAAGGCAGGTCGGTCGAAACGCCATCGATCCTGTTTTATTCCCAGGCTTTGGGATCAGCATCAAGTTTGCTTCTTTCCATACGTCCAGAAAAATCCTTCGTCGCAGAGTATCGTTCGCTAACTTTTGGAAGATCATAGGCCACCTTTTGATTAGCATCGGGACCACCCCTGGTGGTACGCCGTCCGGTCCAGGTCCCTGTCGCTAATTTTTCCCTTGCTTCTGTTACTTCTTCCAGTGTCACTTAAAGGATGTCTCCTTTGTCAACCACGAACGTTGTGTCACTCCTCCAGTGCTGCGTTGGGAACAGACTCCTTACCGCGTTCGCCACTAGGTCAAGAGGTAGCGATGGCGATTTTGTCCTTATTCTGTTCATGACAATTTGATACGGGAGTCCGAAAACGTCTTGGACTGCCTCAATCAGGTTCTGCCAGGATCTTGCTTCGTCTTATGCATTGTCTTAGCTTATTTTGAGCATCCTGGTACTCCCGGAGCTGTTATAACGCTCTCTGTTCTGTTTCTGATTGTATGTCGTTCATGCGTCTTTGCCAGCTTCTTGTTTGTGTGTCGATGCGCCCTTTCCTCACACATGTTTTCCTGAGCTCTGCGATTTCCTTGTCCCACCAGTGTTTTGGACGATGAAGGTGCCGCTTGCTCGATGACTGCCGATCGCCTTTTAAGTATGCGTCGATCATTAGCTGTCTGAGCTGCTGCGCTTCTGTCTGTATTCCTCCACCCCGTTCCGTGTGCCAATATATGTTCGCACCTTCTGTCTATCTCTCTTTGCAGGATGGTGCGGTCTAACTTCCTCGCTTGCCATCTCCGTGTCTCTTTCTCTTCGCCTACTCGTAGGCTTGTTTGATCGACGTGGAAGGATATGTAGCGGTGATCAGTGCCGCTTTCCTCTTCGTCCAGTACTCTCCACCCTGTTGTAGAGACTATTGCAGCATTGTTTACCAGCATGAGATCTATGAAGGATGGATAACTTCTATGTTCGCAAATGGGAGTTTCGCTGTCGTTTAAAGCTACGAGTTCCTCTACTGCCGTCCATTCCTGCGTTATCGATCCTCTCCGATCATTATTTCTACTTCCCCATGTTACACTCTTTGAGTTAAAGTCCCCCGTGATGATAATCTTCTTCCCCGTGTCATGTCTTTGTATGCTTTGGCCAAGGTCATCCAGAAATCTTTCAAAGTCCTCTATTAATCTCATAGGCGAAAACTAGCATGAGTAAAAGACAGTCACGTTTTCGACCTCCGCCTAGACTAACTCTTTTCCTTTTCCACTTCCTCGTATCACCGCTTTCCCTATGCCGCACCAATATATGGCAGTGTCTTTTGTTTCGTCCCACAATCACCTTTGTAGATTCTATTTTTTTAATGTACGGTTCTGAAAGCAGGTATAGGTGTGTGCCGTATTATTGTGTCATCACTTCTAATAGGTCATAGGCGGTAGACGAGCGGTTTAAGTTAATCTGTAAAAGTCTGAACGCTATTATTGTCTGTTGTCTCCTCTTCCGCTATCTGCTTCTATTTCTGTGACACTTCTTCGGGTCGTTTAACAGTCTTTTCTGCCGCCGGCGTTACGAAGTTGTCTTCGTCAATTATCCGTCTGTTTGCGCTCCTGTTCCTCTTCTGTGCTTCTCCGTCCATTTCTCCGTCTGTCTTATTGATAGTCGCTCCCGGCTCCGTCGCTCTTTCTCCTACTCTCTCTCTTCTGTTTGTTTTAGGCTCGATCCAATAATATTCTATATTTGGAGCATCGCATTGATGTGGCACTGTGGCCGATAGTCTCACATGCGTAGTAGTATGGGGTCGACCTGTCACAAATGATGCCTGGATGTCCTGTATTCCTCTTACTTTGTTTTTTTCCTTGCACTCGTAGGCTTCACGACCGACTTTCTGGCATCGGAAACAATTGGGTATGCGGACCCAGTCTTTCATCTTGCATTTGTAGGGCCCCATTTGCACTGTCCTGCCGTCTTTTAGGTTCGTTGCCAATGCGGTTGGTATATGTATCTGTGAGTACCAGCTATCTCGTGACTGTCGAGGATCCCCGGATATTATTCCTGTACTTTTCGGTAATCTCAATGCGTTTTTAATGTCATTCGCTATTCTGCTTCCCATAGCCAGAGGGTCCACATCCCATATGGCCATAGTACACAGGTTTGGCTTTACACTCATGTTTACTTCCATGCCTTCCTCGCCTTTGAGAACGCTGGCGATTTTTAGGGCTTCATCTGTTGCAGGTCCCTGTACCCCCAATAGTACGTCTCCTCCTGATCTCAATTTTCCCGCCGATCTTTGTAGGTTTTAGTTTCGTACGTAATCCCGCCAGCACCTCTCTGTAGGATCTATTTTCCCTTACCTTTACACTTATTATTGAGATCCCCTCGTATTGTTTCCTTCTTGCTGTCAGATCTCTAATTCTTTTCGTATTTTGAGGTTGCGTACCCTCCGTTTGGTTTTTGCAGGCCTCCATTTCTAACTCGAGATGTTTTGCTGTAAACTTTGAGTAATTCGCTAGCGACCTCGTTCTCTGCTTGACCGGTCGCTTGGCTTGCAGGTGTCTTTTGTCCTCTTTTTTCCTTTATGGCCTTGACGACTTTTTTTTTAATTATTTTTGTCAGACTCTTTTTTGTTTCTCCTTTGCTAATCGTACCTACTATTATTTTTCCGGTGGCATCCTTAGGTGTCTCATCCCATCCGTTCCTCCCGAAATAAATGCTAGAAATTGCTACTCGTGAGTACTGCAACACTACCAGCTGTCAATTTTGCTGCCTTTTTAGCTCCATGACTTCCTTTTGGTCTTTCTCGAGGCCCTTCTCTATTATTATCGCTCTCGTATCTCTGATAGCAAGGAGAGTTTCTTTTGTTGTCTTAATACATTTAAGGGCTCTTTGGCGCCTTCTCTCTTAGCCCCTCTGTTCTGACCAGGGTTCTCGTTGCTCTGGCTAGTTGCCTAGTGTTTTCTTTGATGTCACAAAACATGACCTTGTGTTTCTTGCACAAGGTTTCGAGGAGTCTGGAGCGTTTTGTCATTGCTTCGATGGCCTCATCTATGCTTTTTGATTCTAGAAATATTTCCTCTTTGGTCTCCTTTCACCTTTTGTCCGATCGGTTGATCTCTTCCATGTTGTTTGGTGAGATTACTTCTTCCATCGTTCTTTTCCTTGAGTGTGCCTGTTCTTGCGTTTCAAGCGGAGTTGCCCCTTCGCGATTAACGTGCATCTTAAGCATCTCTTCTTCGTCTTGTTTTTTAATCCTTCGTTCCTGCTTTTGGGCTTCGCCTGGGTGGGTCATAGAAACTGGTCCAGCCTCTCGCCCCGTACCGTCATTATCGGTTGCCTTTCTCGGTCATGTTGGCGTCCGTTCCATCAGAGAAGATTTCCTAAAAGGGCCGCCCTCCAGTAGCACTATCGTACCGGCATTTATTTTTGTCTTATTTTCCATGGTCTGAGCTCTTTGTATCTTAATCGGTTTTTGGATCGCATGCAGCGTCAGTCGTTCAAGCCATAGGCATTCTGACGTACATTTATCACTAGGTAGGGTTTCTGTCATTGCTCCCCTGCTCTTCGCGTCGTTGAAGCCTCACACAGCTTGGCTCACCCCGCCATGAGAGCCCTCAAGGGCCCACCGTTTCTGGTTTACGCCGGGCTCAGGCAACGGTGAGAGCTTCGCTGAGCATTGGATTCGCGCCGGATATCGTTTACTAGCACTCATCATATCTGATAGGCATTTGCCTATCCGCCGCCTGGGGACGTGCCATGATAGGGGTCCAGCAACTCCTGTCCGTCCCTTCGTTGGGGCATTCCTGTCTCGTTCATCCATCGGGACTTACTGGGGAACCTAACTTGACCCTTAATCTAACCTAACCTACCTAATTAATAATAAATTATATAAGTTAATAATAAGTTTTTATATTCTGTAATACAAAAAAAAAACCTATATGAACAATACACATTTCTGTAACTCGCCCCCTTTCCGCACCTTTAATTATCATTGTAGTTTTTAAATCGGCTCGATTTTCTCTCAATATTCCACTCCCATTTGATATAAACCATTAACACAATGACAGCACGGATCTGATTAATTTCTGTAGATCCGTTCGCAAATGTACCTGTGACCCGGGAAGCAGCGTATAGATGCATTATCATATTTATTTCCATTGATAGGCTAAAAAGCAACCCGTCAATCCA